GCACAAATGGGTCCCTGGGTGTGGCCTGCGGGAATAAGGCTGAAATCAGCATCCAACGTCCCCCAGAGATGTGGTAGTGCGTGAAGTAGCAGGCGGCTGGGAAGGAGCTGCTCCTGCTCATCCCGGCCCCACTCAACCCGGTCAGCTGAGCATCTGGCCCCCCGTCTTCCACTGCAGCCCCTCGCATCTCCTGGTCTGCCACACCCAGCTATGGAGAAGTGTGTTCCTAGGGTGGAGCTCCCGTGGCCTCGCTGGGGGTGCAGACTGAGGCTCAGAGAAGTGGGGTGAGTGCCAAAGGGTAGCCCAGGGCAGACTGGGGAGTCGCGGTAGCTGCATGGCCAGGCTGCCCACTTTGTGTGCCTTCCTGCAAGTCCTGGGGTGGCTCCAGTCTGATAGGAGGAGGTGGGTGCTAGGGATGGAGTTCGCAGTCTCTATATTTAAAAAAAAAAAAAAAAGAGACCATGAACTCCATGTTTTATTGATTTTTTAGAGAGAGAGAGGGATAGAGAGTTAGAAACATCGATGAGAAGCATCGACCAGCTGCCTCATGCACACCTCCTATTGGGGATGTGCCCACAACCATGCCCTTGACCGGAATCGAACCTGGGACCCTTCATTCCGCAGGCCGATGCTCTATCCCAGGGGTGGGCAAACTTTTTGACTCGAGGGCCACAATGGGTTCTTAAACTGGACCGGAGGGCCGGAACAAAAGCATGGATGGAGTGTTTGTGTGAACTAATATAAATTCAAAGTAAACATCATTACATAAAAGGGTACGGTCTTTTTGTTTTTTTAGTTTTATTCATTTCAAATGGGCCGGATCCGGCCTGCGGGCCGTAGTTTGCCCACGGCTGCTCTATCCACTGAGCCAAATCAGTTTGGCAATTTGCGGTCTCTTTTTTCCCTCCCTCCATCCCATGGTCCCAGCTACCTGGGGAGGACGCGGCTGGAGGGGTTGATGGGGTCAGGGTGCCGCGCCTCCCTGGGGAGCAGTGAAATTTGGGCAGATAGCCTGCCCTCTCAATGAGAACTGCAGCTTAGCCCCACCTCCTTGCAATCTTTCATAGACTAATCGCCTGTTTCTCTTTTCGTCTGTCCAAGTTGACTGCCCCCTGGTGGTCAATGCACATTACAGCGACCAGCTGACCAGTCGCTTAAGCTTTTATATATATATACTAAAGGCCTGGTGCATGAAATTCATGCACGGGAGTGGGGGGATCTCTCAGCCTGGCCTGCACCCTCTCGCAATCCGGGACCCCTCGGGGTATGTCCAACTGCCGGTTTAGGCCTGATCCCTGCAGGAATGGGCCTAAACCGGCAGTTGGACATCCCTCTGGCAATCCGGGACTGCTGACTCCTAACTGCTTGCCTGCCTGCCTGATCGCCCCTAACCACTTGCCTGCCTGCCTGATCGCCCCTAACTGCTCACCTGCCTCCCTGATCACTCCTAACCACCTCTGCCTTGGCCCCCGCCGCAGCGGCTTTGTCTGGAAGTACGTCTGGAATGACATCTGGAAGGTCGTTCGGCTGTCCGGTCTAATTAGCATATTATGCTTTTATTATTATAGATAGACTAGAGGCCCGGTGCACAAAATTTGTGAAGGGGGGGTCCCCTCAGCCCAGCCTGCACCCTCTCATAATCTGGGACCACTGGCTCCTAACTGCTCACCTGCCTGCCTGCCTGATGCCCCTAACTGCCCCCCCTGCCAGCCTGATCACCCCTAACCGCCTCTGCCTGCTGGCCTGATTGCCCCAAACTGTCCCCCCTGCTGGCCTGGTCGCCCCCAACTGCCCCCCCACCAGCCTGGTCGCCCCCAACTGCCCCCCCTTCTGGCCTGGTTGCCCCACGCAGCCTGCTGTTCAGTCATTACTGTTACTGTGACGGCGCCCCAGACAATTTGCATGTTCCTCTATTATTAGTATAGATGCTCAAATATGTATATATCACCCTTTAGCTTCACTTACAAGTGTTGCCTAACTCCTAGACTGGTAGGAAAAACATAAACAAAAAATGACATAAATAGTCACAGATATAGAGCTAACTGTCTAGGACACTGTGGGAGGTAGGCTGGAGTGGGGTGGTGCCTGGGCATCTGAGTCTGAAAGGTCCCAGGAAGGTTCCCTTATGGGAGCAAAAGCCAAAAAGATCATGGATCATGTGATACCAGACCTCTCAGTGTATATACCAGGTAATAGCACCCTCTGAACATTCCATGACTTTCTCATTTACACGCTCTTCTGTGAGACTTCTTGAGAGCATAAATTAGTATGTATTTTATGCTTCTTTGTGTCTCTATGATTTAGTACAATGCCTGACATGTTTTATGTATTCAATAATTTAAAAATTATTTTTAAAATTTAATGTTAACTTATTTTCCTTCTTTAAAATCAAGATCATTGCATATAAAACTGACTTCCATTCGACCAATTTCCCCTAGTCTTTTTCTTCTTTTCTCCTCCTCTGTGTGATCATTATGTGTCCTTCTCAAACAGTAAAACACTTTGCAGTTTGCATACAAAACCCATGAAAAACCTAGTGTTTATTTCATTTTACATATACGATATAAACATTTATATCATCTTGCAACTTGCTTTTATCAAGATCCCATTAGAGATTTTTCCAGGTTGATTGCTATACTTCTAGATAGAACTTGTTCCTTAATTTTGCCTGCTTTATAGTACCTCATTGTATGAGTCACTGTATCAGGTTTCCTTTCTTTCCTCTCTCCCTCTCTTAGTGGGTGATCTTCCAGTGTATCATGCTTTATTTATTCATTATGCTACTGATGGACACTTAGCTTGTCTCTGATTTTTCACTATTGTAATTATTCAATAACAGTATTCATACTGAAATCACTGTATAATTAGGCTACCCACACACAAAAGTTTGACAAAAAATAGTTTCATTACCAAAAAATGCAGCTGGAAAGAACCAAATGAATTGTGAAAAATGCATAATGCCTCTAAACACAAGCTGTAGAGCAAGGTTAGGTTTTCCAAGCCATAGTTTTAAATAGCAGGGGAAGGGTAAATCAGTAGCTTGGTCAGACCCAACAGAATTGAAATTGGTGGGTACAGCTGGGGTACTAACTCTGATAGACAATGCTGCCACACAGTGCACTTAGGATAAAGACTCTAAACCAATGGGTCAGACCAATAAGGAAGACTTCTATTCCTGACAAACCTGGTTATTCAATATTGCTAATGTATGTCAGAAGAGACCCTAAACAGAAAAGGGATCACCCTCTATTACTTCATGTTAATTTTGGCCATGTGCCAAAGTTAACTTCTGGGAAATTTAAAAAATCAAACAGTAATTGATGCTTGAGTTTAATTCAAGGTTAGGCCTAAAGTGCTGTAACATATCAATTCTGATTAAAAATATGCAGAAAGAGCAAAGGATTTCAAGGTGTTCAACAATATAAATCATTTTTATTATTATTCAAATAATTTCACAATCTATCTTTAAAGAAGAGATGGGCAATGTAGCTTCACCACAGTTCATCTAAGAAAACAGATATTACACGTGCAACTTTCCAAGTCCTTGTTTTAAACACCAACTCAAAAACTCAGAAAGAGAGAAAGAGAAAGGGCCCTAAAATTAAAAATAAATTCTGAACATTTGTAATTAGAGGCAACACAAGGAATAAAATTAGAATTCTTATAGACTATGTGTCTTAAGGTATACATCAGGACACACACACACACACAAACACACACACTTTTGTATTTAAGTTACAAAGCATAATTACATAGGGAACCCCTATGGACCACACCATGCAACCTCAACACGAGATAATCCCAAGGATATACCTCTCCCTGTGTGTTCTTCCCTATTCCACTACTCTGCCTCATCTCCCCAAACTCCTACCTCCAAGAAATAATCACTGCCATTTTTGTGACATTGGTAAGAAGGAACTACTGGGAACATTTTTAAGAGTGAAATTACTGCAAATTCACCTTGAGTAGAAAAACCAACATATCTATCTCCTAGTCATAGAGCACTGACAGACAGCAGCATCCCTGCTGCTATGCGATCTTACATGGGCACCATCCCTATTAAAAATATGAGTTATGTTATTCTCTTAAAGTCTTCACACAATTGATTTTTATGACCTCATCCTCAAGTATTCTATTAAGCTGATCAAAATAAACCAAATTTTATTTATTTAGATAGTAATCCTCACCTGAGGATATTTTTCCATTGACTTTGAGAGAGAGTGGAAGAGAGAGGAGAAGACAGAGAGAGAAATATCGATGTGAGAGAAACACATCGATTGGTTGCCTTTGCATACACCTCGACCAGGACCAGGGCCCGGGAGAAGCCTGCAATCAAAGTGTGTGACCTTGACCAGAATCGAACCCGGGACCCTTTGGTCTGCAGTCTGATACTCTATCCACTGAGCCAAACTGGCTAGGGCTTTCCACTGATTTCTAGAGAGAGTGGAAGGGAGGTGGAGGGAAACAGAGAGAGAGAAACATGGATGTGAGAGAGACCGACATAAATTGATTGCCTCCTGCATGCACCCTGGGCTCCAACCTGGGCTGGGGATTGAGCCTGCAACTGAAGTATGTGCCCTTGACTGGAATTGAACCCATGACCCTTCAGTCCAAGGGCCGATGCTTTATCCATCGAGCCAAACCATATACGACAAAATAAACCTAATTTTAAAAAATCCTCACCTGAGGACATGCTTAGAGAGAGGACAGGAGAGAGAGAGAGAGACATCAATGTGAGAGAGAAACATCGATTGGCTGCCTTCTGTAAATGCCCCAACCGCGGATGGAACCCACAACCTGGGAACGTGCCCTGTCCAGGAATGGAATCTGCAACATTTTGGTGCACAGGGCAATGCTCAACCAACTGAGCTACTCTGACCAGGCTAAATAAACTTAATATTTTTCAACTTCTGAAATAAAGATGTTTAAGCATACCACAGCATACCACTTTATTAGAAAACAGTTCAAGAAAAGATTAAAATACTTATTAGGCAACTTACTTCATGTAAATTCAGTTCTTTTACTTTCTCTTTTAATATAACCTGTAAGACAAAAAGTATGTTTTTATGCCCATTTAAGTCTGTAATTTAAAAAATTTCTCATACTTACAGTTTTCTTTGTATATATAGCTAATTTCCCCTCTTATTCAGTATTGAAGAGAATTTCTTTTACAGTTTTAGAACATTTTATCAACATTCTTTGAAATTGAACAATGATGCAATATTCTTCTGGAAAGCAATTTTATAGTCTCTTTGACAATAGATTAAATTTTGGGAAAAGACATTAACACATGCCCATATAGACTAAGTACAAACACAGGGTAGGAAATTTACTGCCTTATGGTTCAGTAAAGCATAGCACTGACTGATGGGATTAATTAGTAATTATTGAAGATTAAAAAGTAAAATCAATCTTAATTTTAAAAGTTTTGCTCATTATTATACATCACTATCCTCAGAAAACTTTATCTCTAGAGTTATGTAAAGAGGCTTAAAACTTATCCAGGTGCTGTTTCTAATCTGACTTTGCAGTGACTGGATATCAGTTAAAAGGAATGCTAAATGACAAGAGGGCAAATGACTACTTAAATTGAAAAGTTCTGAGAATAAACTTAGCTTATTAGAATTATATGTCATCTTCAAGTGAAAAAACAGACAAGTGAAATTTGGGAAAAATCTCTATTTTGAGTATCTTATATACCTGAATCAAAAATAGTTTTGAGGGCAAATCACATTTTCAGAAATCACAACCAAAAGCTACCATCTAGCTATGCAGGAATGCATTACATTTCAAAGTCAGTATTTTTTAAGGATAATTTTTACCACATCTTGTGACTTTAATAGTTCTATCAGTCAATTTCACCTTTTAAATGACCAGCAAGGCCAATTTTACTTTTTTAAAAAATATATTTTATTGATTTTTTTTTTTACAGAGAGGAAGGGAGAGGGATAGAGAGTTAGAAACATCGATGAGAGAGAAACATTGATCAGCTGTCTCCTGCACACCCCCTACTGGGGATGTGCCCGCAACCAAGGTACATTCCTTGACTGGAATCAAACCTGGAACCCTTCAGTCCACAGGTTGATGCTCTATCCACTGAGCCAAACCGGTTAGGGCCAATTTTACTTTCTAGTTAGCTTTTTTTACATACAAATATCTTGTAGGTTGTCAAGATCGTGAAAGAACTGAGACAAAAAGATTCAATTATTTAGAAAACTAAAACATTCCAGTCTGGGTATGAATCCCACATGAGACCTATAGGGAAGAGTGTGGGGTTACCTATGACATCAATGTCAACATCTAAGAAACTCGCCCATGAGCTCATATTTCAGAGACACAGACAAAAGATGGACAAAATGATATATAATCCTAAACTGGTGAGATGGTTCTATAACATCATGTCATAAAGGTTAAAGACTAAAATAAGCTGCAGCTTGCCCCACAAAAGCTGAAGCTTTTCCCCCAAAAAGCTAAGAACAACAAAATAATTTCACGCTTTGGTTCAAAAGAAAGGAACAACTAGGCCCACTGTTTGGTATCAGTGGTAAAATGTTAATGGATGACACATGTAAGAAAAAAAAAATTTTTACTTTGCTTTCAAGTAAAGCTAAGTTTATTACTTTAAAGAACAAATCAGTAAAGGGACAGTACAAAGGGGCAAGGGTTACTAGTGATGATCCAAGTAGACTTCTAGTGGTATGACATTAGCTAACATTTAAAGTACAAAAGGGGAGGAGATGAGATCACTAGAACAGAGCTGGTCATCTCTGAGGAAGTTGTATGTTTTTAATGAGGGAGGTAAAAAAAATTAATGTAATCTTATCTATATATATAAAAGGCTAAGTGACTGATCATACGTCCATCTGACCAACTGGCCAGTACACATGATGCACTGGCAATTTAAAAATAAATGTTGACTAGCACATATGTGATACATATAAAGCTCTTGCTAGCGCCAATCACACACGTGTGTTTCTGTCATCGTCGATCGTGAATTTGGTTTGTTTTTGTGGACATTCTGAAGCTAAAGGAAAGTGGCTATTATGTCTTTGTTGTTATTATATCATGTTGTTATTTATTAATTTATATATTATTTTCATATACACTTTACTAATTTCTTTCATCTCTGATAGTTCTATTATAAAGGGAGAATAGCGATATTAAAATATTTCTTCTAATTAATTTCCTTTCAATGTGCATGAATCCATGCACTGAGCCACTAGTTTAATATAACCTTTAAGAATTATAAGCTACATTTCTCTTTAGCAAAATGTTAGCTTAAGTTTCCTGTTAAACTATATTATTGTATCATGTGAACTTTCTATAACTTCAAATAATTAGAAAGAAGAGTACTTAAAGTTGATCTATTTTTACTGTAAACTGGCAAATAAAATGCTAAAATGAACACAAGTCCTAGTTTAAAATGAGTGCAAATCTGAGTTCTCATTTTTTGGGTACAAAACACTATCAAAGTCAATCTGAAGTAAATTTCTCACCTGTTTATAGGCATAAAATTCTTTGTGTGCTTGATGTCTTAGCCTAAAAGACAAATGAACAATGTGATATTGAGATTTCCAAGACAACAATTTGAAAAAAATACGGAAACTGCTAATTTCAGTATCAGTTTATATCATTTATAGTTTAAAATCCAGAGTCTTTATCCTGGAATACACCCAAATGACACATCTGTTACATGTCATGAGTAAGTGAACAGTGAACCATAGAATGATATCTAAATGTAAATTCAAGTAAAATCTCATTAAAACCAAATCTCATTAACACAACAAATATTTTAATGAAGGCTCAATTTTTTTTATGTTGATGATAGTCCACTTGTTTCAGTATTTAATATACATTTTTTATTTAAAATTTTAAGTAAATATACATCTAATAATTACAAAAACCTTAAGAATTCAGTGAATTAAAAAATACACATACACATTTATATACACCAGTGTAACTATCACCTAGTCAAGATACACAACATTTACAGCACCCCTTCAATGACTTCTCCCAATCAATATCCACCCAGAGGTCGCCACTATCCTGATTTCTCTCATAGATTAACTAGGGGCCCAGTGCATGAATACGTGCACCTTGAAAGGAACTGTGGGCTGCGAGGCTGCAGTAGGCACAGGGTTGGGTCTCAGCCCATCCTCTGCGACCCCGCCCAACCCCTCCCCCTGTCCCGTCTGCAGGCAGCCCTACTTCTGCCGCCACTGCTCCCACATGCTGACAGTGCAGAGCAATTGGGGCCAGCACTGTCAGTGGGTGCGAGTGGTGGCTGCTGCCCCGATTGCCCCTCAGGAGCAGCAGGAGCAGGGGGAGGTGGAGAAGCCCTCGGGCAATCAGGGCCAGCAGCTGCTGCTCACACCCACTGATGGAGCCGAATGATCGGGACTGGCGCCGGGCACCAGCAGCGGGTGCGAGTGGTGGTCTGGCACTAGCTGTGGGTGTGAGCAGGCCCAGCGCTGGCAGCAGGTGTGAGTGCCGGGCAGGACTGCAGCACACAGGAGCAAAGTATTTTCAGTAACCACCAGAGGCTCATCCCAATGACAGCAACCGGCGCCCCGCCTTGGTCTGGTTCCCCCACTCACCCGCTCCACCATCCCGTCGCAGCCAACACCTGCCATGTTCCGCACATGCCCCCTGGTGGTCAGCGCATGTCATAGTGACCAATTGTTCGGTTGTTCCGCCGTTTGGTCTATTTGCATATTAGCCTTTTATCATATAGGATGATGCTTGTTTTTGAACTCCACATAAATGGATCATTTGGTATACACTCTTTTGCATTGGCTTCTTTCAGCCAACAGTTACTTTTGAAATTTATCTATGTTGTTGCAGTAATTCTCTTTTTGACTGACATATAGTGTTCCATTGTATGAACACTATAAATATAATTTATTTATCCATTCTACTGTGGATACTTAGATTACTTCCAATTTAGGCTACTATGAATAAAGCTGCTACACAAATTCTTCTACGTGTCATTTAGTGGACATATAGACTTATTTCTGTGGAGTATACACCTAAGAGTAGAACTGTTGGTCCAAAGTGCTTGCACCAATTTCTACTCCTGTGGGTAAAACATGAGAGTTATAGTTGTTCCACATCTTTGCCACTGCTTTGTAAGGTCGGTTCAAAAATTTTAAGCCAATCTAGTGGGTATTTAGTGGTATCTCATTTTGGTTTAAATTTGCATTTCCCAAATGGTGTGCAGAACCCTTCCATATGCTTATTCCCAATTGGATATCTTCTTTTATGAAATGCCTGTTTGATTTTTTTGCCCATTAAGAAAAATGAGTTGTTTGCCTTTTTCTTATTGATTTATAGGAATTCCTTATATACATTAGATGTGAGTCCTCTGTCTGGTCTATGTGCTGGAATTATCCACTCCTACGCTGGGGCTTTTGCCTTTTCATTCTCCTAATGGTCTCTTCTGATGAACAGAAGCTTTCATTTTAAATTAAGTCCAATTTATCAACTAGTCCCAATCATGTCAGTTCTTTTTGTGTCCAATTAAAAAAACCTTTGCCTACCCCCAGATCATGAAGATATTCTCTTGAAAACAATTTATTTTACCTATTACATTTAGATACATATATGATCTGAAATTAGTCTTTATGTATGATTTGAGGTAGAAGTCAAGATTCTTTTCATCCACATGCAGATTTTTGTTTGACTCATTTATTACAAAGATCCTCCTCCCCCACTGCATTGCAGTGGCACATCTGTTGTAAGTCAGACACAATATGTGAGTCTGTTTCAAGAGTTTTTATTCTGTTCCATTGGTCTATTTGCCCATATTTGTATACTAGGTTGAACAGTGTCCCCTTAAAAATTATATCTAACTGGAACCTTAGGATATAACCTTATTTGGAAATAGTATTTGCAGATTATTTAATTAAAATAAGGTTATAGTGGATGTAGGGTGCATATTGGATTTAGGGTGGAAATACAGACACAGGGAAGAAAGCCAGGTGAAGACAGACAGAAGTGATGCAGCTATAAGAGGCAAGGAAGGATCCTACCCTAGAGTCTTCAGAGGGAGCATAGCCCTGCTGATGACACCTTGATTTTGAAATTCTAGCCTCCAGAATGTGAGATTAAGTTTCTGTTGTTTCAGGCCACCCAGTTTGTAGTATGTGGTTACAGCAGCCCTGGGAAACCGATGCACCTTGTTTTCAATACCATGCTAGTTTTTTTTAAAAAACTTGTATTTTGAAATAATTTTAGATTTACAGAAAAGTTGCAAAAAATGAGTTCACATATACCTTAGTCCCAGTTTTGCCAATGTTCATATCTCACACAACCATAGTACAAAAATCAAAGCAAGTAAATTAACATTGATATGTTGATTTAATGTTGATATATCAACAAAGTAAGAGACTTTATTTGAATTTCACCAGTTTTTTCACCAATATCCTTTTCCTGTTCTATGACCCAATCCATGTCTCCTTAGCCTCTTCCAATCTGTGGCAGGAGCCTTAGTTTTTCTTTTCTTTCAAGATTTTGACATATTAACCATGATCACTTGTTCATGGAGTGTCTACTGGGCCTCTCCACTGTAGTTACTATTTTCCTTTTTGAAACTGACCAACATCTTGGGGGAGAGATGTTGAAAATATGTAAAATCCTATTTATTCTCAAGCTTTTGCCCAGTGATTTAGCACTCATCTTGCTTGCAACAATTACTGTAGTGTTTGCCTGGTGGTGGCTTTGTAGTTTCCTAATTCCTTGCATAATTATTAACTGGAATTCTTCTGTAAGGAACATAAGTCCCTTCTCCCTCATTTGCTTATATCACTATGACTCATGGATATTTGTTTTACTCTATGGGTAAGAATTCAATATGATCATTATTTATTTTATTGCTCACATTGATTTAGGTTTGGCCTTTAGGAGCTTCATCGGGCTGACTTCTGTGCCCTTTTAATGTGCCCTCATCTTTTTCCATGAATTTCCTTGCTTATTAGCACTGAAAGATGTTTCTGGCTCATCTTGTATTTTCCATGCCCCATTTGTGGAATTAGCCACTTCTTCCAAAGAACCTTGGTTCCTTTTACTGGAGAATAGTATTTAGAAAGCAGGATCTGGGTGCTAGGTAAATAGCACTCTTAAGTACTGGAGCTCTGTAACAAGTCTTGGGATCTGGTATTAGAAGTCCTCAAGCTTTGTTCCTAATGATTGTCTTGGCTACTCTCGGTCCTCTGCATTTCCATACCAATTTCATGAGCTTGTCAGTTTCCACAAAAAATCTATTGGGATTTTGACTGAGATTGTATGGAAGTTATAGATCAATTGGGGAAGAACTGACATCTTCACAAGATTGAGTTTTCAATCTATGATCCTACTTATTATATCTTAATTTCTCTTTATACATTTCTTGGTAGAACGCTTATATATCTTTCATTAGATTTATTCCTAGATTTTAGTAAGTTTTGATCTACTATAAATTATAATTTTTTTTTCATTTTTTAATTCATTATTGCTACTACATAGAAAAAACAATTTTTGTACATTGGTCCTGTATCTAATGACTTGCTAAGTTCACTTATTATTTTTAAATAGCTTATCTGTAGAATATTTTGGATTTTTTAATATATACAATCTTCCTGTCTACAAATAATGACAGTTTAAACTCTGCCTTTATAATCTTTAGATATTTTACTTCTTTATTTTTTATTTCATTTCTTTTATTACTCCTTTTTTTCTGCATTGGCTAAGATCTCTAATACAATGGCAAATAAAAGTGGTGACATCACTACTGGAGGTCAATGGAGGGGAACAGGGGACATATGAGATAAAGATAAAGATTTAAAAAAAATTTAAATGCATAAAATTATATAACTAAAAATAAAAACCCATCGCTATTGAGTATGTTTTCTCTAGATTTTTTGTGCATAACTTTGATTCAAATAAACAAAGTTCCCTTGTATCCTAGTTTTTGATTTTTAAAAATCATGAATAGGTATTAGTTTTTGGCTTTTAAAAAATATGTTACTGATTTGAGAAAGGGAGAGAGAAACATCAACGAGAAACTTCAACCCATAGCCTCCTGTATACCCCCTACTGGGTATTGAGCCTGGAACCCATGTATGTGCTCCGACCAGGAATTGAACTGGTGACCTTCTGGTACATGGGTTGATGCTAACCACTGAGCCCACCAGTGGGACTTTATAAATTTTTTCCCCCCGTCACTCTCCCTACCATTTTTTTTTTTTACTGTTAATGTGGTATATTGTGTTGATACCTTCATTCCTTGAATAATGTCCACTTGAATATAATGTACTACCATTTTTGCATATCCCTGAATTTGATTTACTAATATTTTGTTCATGAGAGACATAAGTCTATAAGTTGCTTTTTTGTAATGTCCTTGTGAGGCTTTGTATAATTTTAATCAAAATTATGCTGTCCCCATTATATGAGTTGAGTATTTCTTCTATTCTTTGGAAGTCATTTAAGAAGTATTGTTTTCTTTACTGTTTGAAGGAATTCACTGGTGCAATTACCTGGCTTGTAGTCTCTTTGTAGGA